TGGGGGGTCGTTTTCCGCCGACTTCCCCCTGACCGACGAAAGGGCGGGGCGGGGGGGTTAAAAGGACGGAAAAGAGCGGGGGACGTCGAATCAGGCGGCCGGCGCTCACTCAGACGTTTCTGGATTTCGGCCAGGCCGCCGCGAGGGGGCTGGGGAGGACCTGCCCCCGGTGCGGGATGTGGTTCACCGACGCCGGCGAGGATATCGACCTCCACAAGCGGCTTTGCCCTCGGCTTCGCCCTCGAGGGGGGCTCGTGAACGGGAAGACCGCCAAAGACGAGCGCCGCGGTGCGGGGGTCGACGAAAACGCCCTCCCCCTCGCGGAGACGAGGGAGACCGTGCGGATTTTGGACTTCCTCAGCAATGCGCGCCGTCCGCGCCGGAAAGGTGAGCCCTTCGAGTGCGCGAAGATCGCGGGCCGCGCGAACGCGGGCTGGGGAAGGGATTTCTACCTCCTTCGCGGGGCCTGTTCCCCCGCCAACCAAACCCCCGACGGGGTGCGTTTATTGGCGTCTTTGGGGGTGTTGGATACGTTTTGGGACTCCGCCGGGTGGGTGGGGGTGGTGGGGTCGAGCAGACGGTTGAATTGTGTACTTTGCGTGGTGGTGGGGCGTCCGCGAACGCGCGAGCAGGACCCCCAGCTGGTCCTTCGGCCACTTTCCGCCACTTCCGGCGTGCGATGTCTAACGCGGCGGTCTTTTACCTTTTGCGATGTGGAGGCCATTTGGCTGGCAAGGGAATCCATATTAGCGAAACACGCTCAGGAAATTGCAGGGGGGGAGGGGGAATATGAAATGGTTTGGACGCGACCCGCATCCCGCGCGGGCCCGTTTAGCACCCCCGACGATCGTGAAAGACAAAAGGAGACGGGTAGGCGGTTTGCCGCGGAGGAGGTCAATCAGAGCCTGACCGAAGCCCTTGCGGAGCTCGGAGCGCAGGTGAAATACGGCCACATCTTCTCCGCAATAACGGACTTTTCGTATTCCAAGCGAATATTCACCACCAACCGCGGTAATTCCACGGGCCCGTCGCCGTCCATAAAGGAAAGGTTGATCGCTTGCTTAAAAGCCCCGATTAGCCCCACCCTCCAACCCGATGAAGCCTCCGATAACGACGATATCAACGAAAATGATTTGTTCCTCCACTCGGAAAATAGCAGCTCCTATTCTTCCTCTGAGGACGACCCCAATCCTACCGGCGATCTGGTTGATATGAAATAAGGGATCCAAACAGTCCTCTTTTGTAATGCCCACTTGGGGAGGCCCATATTCAAAGGATACATATAAATATATATTACTTATTAGGGGTAGCATATACTTTTTTTTTGAATGAATTGAACTCTTTCATGTCTCTCTGAATGTGTACTCTTAAATAATCGTGTTCATTTCCCTCATTTACATTCTTTTTATGTGTTTTATCTTTTACTTACAGGTCTGTTGTCTTACATTTTCTTTTCTTTTCCAGGTACAATCTTTTACCATCGACATTTTCAGAAGGACGTGCATCTCTTTGCCTGCGCCTGTGTCGAAAAAAAGATACTACGTAAAAAAATCAAACTGGAGTACGTAAACCCATAATTATTTATAATCTAATTGTAAAATAAATACGAATCTAAAGTTTTAACATCCTTTTCACATATATCCATCTTGAAGCTTAACACGCGCGGTCGGCAAATTAGATTATCTTCTCGTTAGACAATCAAAGGGGTAATGTACCAGGGCAACGACCGTTGTTTATTTTTCAGCAAGATGGGCGCATGCCGCCATGGGGATAATTGCACCAAACTGCATATCCGCCCCAGCACCTCCCCAACGGTATTATTTCCAATGATGTATCCCATCCCCTTTGCGGCCCTGGACGGCCACATTGAGGATCGCCAGTGGTCCTTTACCCAGTTTGACAAGAAATATCTCAAAAAGCACTTCGAGCACTTTTATAAAGGGGTATGGCGGACTTTTATGGAGTACGGACGGATCGCGGAGCTTCGTGTGGTGAGTAATCTGAATGATCATTTGCTTGGGAATATGTACGTCCGCTTTGATGATGCCGCGGCCGCCTCCCGAGTGGTGAAGGAGCTGCGCGATAAAAAGACTAAATACAACGACATCATCATCCTCCCAGAGCTTTCTCCTGTAGTTAATTTCGCCGAGGCGTGTTGTAAAGAGGACCTTGAGGGGACTTGTGCTCGCGGCGGGCAGTGCAATTACCTCCACATTATGAAGGTATCTCGCAAATTACTAGAGAGCCTGGAGAAAAAACAGGCCAAGTACTGGAAGAAAAAGGAAAAACACGATAAAGAGGATCGAAAACGACACCATGGTACTCGTTCTCGATCGAATTCTCAACCCTTGAATGGGGGTGATATTTGCCATATATGTGGCAAATCAGGCCATCTTTCTCGAGATTGCCCAATGAAATAATAGTTTGATGAGTAAAAATTCATTTTAAGGGAAGGCGAGCGGCGTCTGAATAATTTTTTTTCACGTCCTCTCTTTCAATTTAGCGTGTCACCATGTGAGCGATCCTTTCCACACAATATGGGGCATGAGTGGTGAATAAACTAAAACTGCCTGAATTGGCAACTTATCTGTGCTTGGGAGGTTTTCGAAATTTTGTTAAAATTAGCATGTCATTTCTTCTGTTTTTCTTTTTCTCCTTTGTATTATTGCAGGTCTACGAAGCGTTGATTACACTAGAAAGGGGATAATAGTCAGGTGTTGGTGATCTACTCTGTACCGGTTAGACACCTTTCAGTTTTAAAATGATGAAAGGAAACTCTTGTAGTGGTAGTTATAGTTGTTATGGTTGATGAATGTTCAATGTTTTCTTTACATAGATATTTTCATTCTTGAGCTTCTGGAAAGGTTCATTTTTTCATTTTATTTTCATACTAAGTATGCAAAAAAAAAAAACAGAAGTTGAAGGTACTTTTATAAATCATTCAATCATTAAGTAGAAGGTAATCAGATTTGCGTTGAATACAAACATAGGAAGGATAAAATAATGTTTTTTAACTAAAAATTATGACATGTTAAACTAATCTATTTACTTCCGCATTACTTTCTTTGTGTGTTAGTCTTATGTCTTTGTGTTTGGGCGCGTATTGTTGTTTATACTAGATAAATCAAAAAATCAAGCCTCTCTGAGCTACACTACTTGTTTTTACTTTTCGTTTTCGTTTTCCTTCCCTTTTTTTCCCATTCGCATGAATTCATATGTTTCTTTTCTTCTTTTTATATTCTCTCATCCTTTTCTCCATTTTCCTCTTCATTCTCTTTGGGGTAATATCGGTCTAAAATATTATTGCGTTATATATCTCTATATATAATTATTATCCCTTTTATGATGATCCCGTACATGGTTTCAATCTACTTGCACTTTTTCCAATAGCCTGCTTTACACTCATACATCCATCCATTGTTACACACACACAGAGTACCTATTACCATTGGAGCATACCCCCCCCCCCCCCCCTGTCCTCTTCCGCCTTACCTACCGAAGATCGCCTTTCCTTTTGTGATACAACCTCCCATGCTCCGCCGAACCCTCCCCTTTGCCTTTGGCTTTCCCAAATGCCCCCCTATCCTCAATGAGCCCATGGACAACTTCGAGCCCGGCTCGGTCTCGGCCAAAGGGGTTTTGGAGGCCTGCAAGCGCTACCGTGAGACGGTTACGGAGTGCCCCATCATCATCGGGGGGAAGCCCTACACCTCCTCTAACGCGTTTGATCGCGTTATTCCCAGTGACCACGGCGTGAAGCTCGCACGGAGCTACTTCGCCTGCCCGAAGCTCGCGAAAAAGGCGGTGGATACCGCCTTGGTGGCGTTTAAGGAGTGGAGCCATGTCCCGTTCCGAGAAAGGGCCGCCATTTTCTACAAAGCTGCTCACTTGATCGCAACCAAGTATCGCAATGATCTACGCGCGGCCACCATGCTGGGGCAGTCTAAGAATCCATGGCAGGCGGAGATCGACTGCGTGGCGGAGTCCTGCGATTTCTTGCGTTGGGGTATTCATTTTGCCTCAGAGCTCTACTCCAATCAGCCACACTCAGTGGGTAATTCGGGGGTGTGGAACAGTACGGAATACAGGCCAGTAGAGGGATTTTGGTCTGCCATTACCCCCTTTAACTTCACCGCCATTGCCGCAAACCTCGTGGGGGCCCCGGCGCTGATGGGAAATGTGGCCATATGGAAGCCGTCGCCGAACGCTGTGCTGTCGAATTATTTAATTCTGAAGATTTTTGAGGAGGCAGGGCTTCCTCCAGGCGTCATCAATTTTCTCCCCTGTGAGCCCGAGGTGATGGACCAGGTGGTCAACTCAGATCCGCGCCTAGCTGGTGTTGTCTTTACCGGCTCCACTAAGGTGTTTAGTGAGATTAACAAGAATGTGTACAGCCGAATCGATACTTACAAAAACTTCCCTCGTATTTCTGGAGAGTCTGGCGGTAAGGATTTCCACCTGATTCATCCTTCCGCGAATATCAAGCTGGCCGTCGCCAACACCATCCGAGGTGCATTTGAATACCAAGGCCAGAAGTGTAGTGCATGTTCGCGGGCATACGTCCCCAAAAGCAAATGGGGAGAGTTTAAGGAATTGTTCCTAAAGGGTCATAAACAAATTAAGATGGGCCAACCTGATGATCTGAGCTCGTTCATGTGTGCGGTTATCGACAAAGCAGCTTTTGAAAAGCACCAAAAATATATTGATATCGCCAAGAATAATTCAGATGTTTACACCATCCTGGCGGGTGGCAATTGCAATGGTACGAAGGGCTATTTTGTCGACCCAACGATTATCGAAACCAAAGACCCACGGTCCCAGCTTATGCGTGAGGAAATCTTCGGCCCCGTGCTCACTGTATTCGTCTACGACGACAGTACTCCAGGCTTTTGGAAGGATATATGTGAGCTTGTGGACACCACGACCGTTTATGGTCTTACCGGCAGCATCTTTGCGCATGATCGCGCTTCAATTCAAGAAGCCACCAAATACCTTCGCTACACAGCTGGAAACTTTTATATTAACGACAAATGTACAGGCGCTGTTGTTGGGCAGCAGCCTTTTGGTGGGGCAAAACTCAGCGGCTCTAATGACAAGCCCGGAAGCGCTCAGTTCATGCTGCGTTTTGTCTCGGCGCGAACTATTAAGGAAAACTTCAGTGTTGCGCCCGATATTTCGTATCCACATCAACTCCCTGACATATATCAATTGTAGAAAGTTTAATTAACAAGATGCTACATTGGTTTCCCTTGGAAACGCATCTATCACCAAGACGAATAAGCGAATTAGTTGATATTTTTTGTTACAAAAATGCTCGAACTTTTAATTTAATAAAAATTAGTGAAATCGAAAGAATAATATATTTATTGACATCTAAATTTTTTAGAGTATTCGAATTTACCTTTTCATCTGACACTCATATTTTTACTGAAGATCTGACTTTCAGATATTTCGAAAGACTCTGGTATGGAAAGAAACCTAGGAGTAAGTAGTTTTTTATTCCTATTTACTATCAATGTTTTTGTTACGTCATTAAAAGTATATGTAAATACAAATGTTTATACATATATATATATATATATATATATATATA